CACACACACACACACACACACACACACACACACACACACACACACACCCACCCACCCTAAGGTATTTAAATCAAAATTAAAATAATAATATAATAATAATAATAAATAATAAAATTAGCAACACTTATCTGGGTCTGAGCTTCAGTTCTAACATGCTAACTAAAGTCAAGAGATCAGTGTTCTGCAGGGAACATAAATGGTATTTAAGTAAACACTATATAATGGCTGATGTGCATTAAAAGGTTTTAGTGCAGTCACTGGGCTTTTCTCTAAAAGTTAGTGTCCTTGAAATGAAATAAAATGAAACTACACTTTGTCTGCTTTCAAGGAGGTTGTATTTGGGGAAAATAAAAACTTACACAGCAGGGGAAATGTAGTGGCCTTACAAAAGAGCAACTGAGTAAGAGGCGCAGGTCACTTACTGGTCATTCAGCAGAGTTTTCTGTGAAAAACTTCAAGTACCTGAACATTCCTTCTTTTTGATTTGCCATCTCATTAGATCAGCTCCTTACACTGTTACTTTTTATTTTTCCAATGATATGGGGACTCTAGCCTTTCAACTTGAATTCCCTCTGAGGACAAGCATTTTAAAAAGTATTTAATACATGTGGAAAATATTTTCCACTTTCTCCCACAGGGAACAAAATTATTGGAAGTATTTGTAGAGTTAACCATGTGTTGACTATCTTATGTTTTACAGTAGCACTGTGCTCCAATTCATTATGCATCAGAGGGATTGTACTTCTAAGATTTCACATTTTTTTAATTTTAAACTGCAAAAATATTCTCTGAAGTTCAAACTTCTTGCATAGGGAAGTTCTGCTTTAACTAAAGAAAGGTGGTAGAACTGGGTTGGAAGTGTGGCAAAACTCCATTGTAATTGGTTTCCATTAAAATATCCAATTGTTTGTGGATACATTTTTTTATAAAGTAGCGTAAAGGGCTAATTTATCACTCTATCAAAAATTAGACTCTGAAGGTCCTTGCAAGTTATAAAGTTTTCATTAGTTCTATATGCATCACTAAGGCTTGTCATCATCACTACATGCGCCTCACAGAATACTTAATGTGGAAGTGACTCACAGCACAGCATAAGGCGATTATATGCATTTATGTGAGAACATCATGCAGTATGGGCTTATGGCAGCACACTGAGACAGGTTCTTGGAACTATTTGTGGAGTAAGGCACCACCCAACATGAGTACAAATGGTGGAATCTGGCCCAGCATGTTGCCATGAGTCAATCCTATATCATTAAATGCTCTTTGTGAGATGGGACATAGGCTTTATGGCAACACAATGGGTTAAATTCTGTCACTCTTCCTCTCCTTGGGTACTGCCTCAGTCTGCAAGTAGTCTCAAGACTACATCTCAGTGTGTTGCCATAGGCCCAGACTGCATTGTGTTTCTGCATAAATGTATATTCTATCTCAATCTTGCCTTATATTGTGCTGTGAATTATTTAGTGCACTCTGTGAGATGGATGTGTGGGGCTTGAAGCTGTGTGCCTGAAAGAAAACTTTATAATTTCCAAGGCCAGTGATCTCAGTTACACCAGCAAGAACTGGAGTAATGCAGTGATGTCAATAAATTAGCCCTTTAGGTTGCTTTATGAGAAATGTATCTGCACACAATTAGATTGCTTAAAGGAAACCAATTAGAATGAAGCTTTTCCCATTTACAAAATACTTTTAAAATTTAAATTAAAGGAATGTGAAATCTTAGAATTACAGTCCCTGTGAAGCATAATGAGCTAGAGCCGAGTGCTACTGCAACACAGTCAATGCTATATGTGTTAAATAATTTTGTTCTTTATGGGAGAAAATGGAAAATAACTTGATGAGACTGCTTGTGGAAGTAAGGTGACTAAGGCCTGGTCTACACTGGGGGCGAGATCAATCTAAGTTACGCAACTTCAGCTACGTGAATAACATAGCTGAAGTCAATGTACTTAGATCTACTTATCGTGGTATTTTCACTGCGGTAGGTCGAATGCTGACTGTCCCCCGTCGACTCCACTTACACGTCTTGCTCCGGTGGAGTACCGGAGTCAACAGGAGAGCTCTCGGTGATCGATTTATCACGTCTTCACTAGACGCGATAAATCGACCCCCGCTGGATCGATTGCTCCGGAGGTAAGTGTAGACATGCCCTTAGGGTGGTAGACTCTACCCCTTTGCTTTTTAGTATGAGAGGATGAGACATGCAGACTATGCTTTCAATCTTACAAACAAACAAAGAAATGAATGATGTTGCTTACACTCCCTGGCTCTGTGAATATGACATTGGCAGGAAGCTAGGACAAGATTTTACAAAATAGGTGCCAAAGTTAATTTCAATGGGAGCTACTGAGTGGTCATCACTTTTGAAAATTAGGCCACCTTTTTAGGTGTCTAAGTCTGAACTAGGAACTCATCTTTAAGAACCCATTTAAAAAAATCTTGGCTACAGCTTCTGTCTCATTTGAAAATCAAGTTGTGTACCATATAGTAACAATGTAGAACTATATAAATGTAATATAGATGTTGTACTATATTATTTTAACTTCAGTGTGTTATCTGTAATATAAAGCTAATATGGGGTTGCAGAAGATATGCAGTGTAAGTGGTTAGAAGGGTCTAAACATAGAAACAAAAAGAAAGACGTTTGCATAGTTCATTTTATTTAAAGAATATGTGTTTTAGGTTCGTGTGATTAAAGTAAGATAAGGCCATTTTTACTTACTCCACTGTTTATTTAAGCTAAGTAGCCTAATGACACAAAGGGGTCTTGGCTTGTAACTAAAGGAGAACAGCAGTCTCAGAAACTTATAGCTGTTTTTTTAAACAGCTAATCTAATCAGACCACCATTTTTTCCTTTTGTACCCTGTATTCAGAAACACATTAATTCAGCTTGAATCTCTGCAGATATAATGAAATATAAAATATTTTTAAATATTATAAAAGCTTCATGACCAGGGAAGATCATCAGCAAGGGTCAGGAATAAATTTCCTGATATAATATGATCATTTAAAGTTGCTTCCTGTTTACAAGGTACTAGTGGTAGCCTGGGTGATTATGCTTGGGGTTGAATAACATACTATCCCAGGCTATTATTAATAGTATAATAATCTGAAGTTACATCTTCACTGCAAAAAAAGATGTTTATTATCTTGAGAGAGCCATCTCTGTGTAAAATCCTAGTAGTGACAAGGCACAGGTATTTTTTATCTTGGTGTCACTAGTCAAGACAAAACAAATACCCTTCTCCCTCCACCCCCTCCTACCGCCAATAAGGTTTATCTCAACTAGCAACATCTAGGCACAAACTATAGTGCCTTCGCACTCTCAATGTTAGTTAGCTATTTCATTGTAAAAACACACTTTTAGCATTAGTATTTCAAAAATTCAATTTTTAAATAAGAGAAGGAAAAATCTACCCAAAATATGGGCTGGCAAAATACCGAAGCAGTGTTTAAAAATACTTTAAAATGTTTTTGTCCATCCTTTTCTCCTTCCTATGATCTCCCTCCTCATTTTCCTCCCCACAGGTAAACAAGAATTCTTCCCAGAATTGTTGCAATATATTTTTATTTATATTTTCTTTCAACAGCAAATTGACGGGAAGAGCTGGAATTTTTGCAGTGTAAACTATCTGCATAAATATAGATGCAAGGGAAACTATTAATGATTATGTAAACATACTATCAGCTTATATTGATTACTTTTTCATGTCATGCTTGTATTGTTTTAGTTTCTTTTGAACTGATTCATGTAGAGGAAATTACATACTTTTGTTTTCCAAATGCAAGTGGGAAGCAAATCCATAGGTAAAATGTTTGAGATTTTAAAGGATTATAGCCCTGTTTTTATTAATAAGAAAATACTACACAAAATATCCAGGAATGTCTTTGAAAACATTTTCAGACTTCATAGTGCTCATTTTCTTTAGATTAGTAATTTATTTTTAAGAATTTCATAATATGATTGTTTTGATGTTTTCTATATTTTGGGCTTGAAGTATAACATTTCCTCTCTTGGTTTGCATTAGGGGGAATTTGTTTCCTGTCTCTTGTCACTATTACGACAAATGACAGACCGACATTACCAGCAACTTCTTGATAGATTCAACACAAAGGATGAGCTGAGAGTAAGTAACAGAGCTTCAGTTTTATGCCTTTAAATGTTCTCTCCTCTTCTTCTGCCTCTGTTCAGGAACTCCCCTGACTCAGTTAAGGGGTGTTTTGATGTTTAAATATAATCTGTTTCTCAGACACACTGATGACAACTAATAGCTACGTAAGCTTTTTTCATTCATGTTTACTCAGGGGAATTCTTGTGGCTGTGGGTTGGATTTTGTTGTTTCTGTACTTAAAGCTGGTAGGAATGAGGAAAGGAAAACTATAGAATTGTGTTATAGCCCTTTCCTCATTCTCTAATCCCATCACAGAGAATAAACTAATCACAATCCAAGTAACAAATATGAAAAACTTCCATCCAGGGAGACAAAATTATCTTGGATTTTTCCTATCAGCCACAGTTTAATTGATATGACACGGTGCAATGGCAGACTAGCAGCTTAAAGAAAACACATTCACACTAGTACCAGATTCAGAAAGAACAGACCTTTACGTGCAGCTCATGAAACTCTGTAGATCTCTGACACTATCCACTAAAAGCTTTAAAATGCCAGTTCTCTCCACAACATCTTATTATTATCCTAACATCTTCCAGTACATGGCTGACTTCACTCATGTGGACAGGGAAATTAGCATGTTCCTTATGTTTACATTATTTTAATATAAGCTATTATACTATTGGTAGAATGCCTGAGTTACTTCCGTTTTTAATTTTGATAATTAAACTGCCATTTCTAGTCTTGTCAGACACAGTGGAAGTTTCTTAGGGGATAGTAGTTTATGCTTAGAGGGTAATATTCACCCCTTCTCCTTGTAGCACAAAGCCTGTGTAAACTGTGTGGCTGGGTGAGGACAGAACTTTATTATTATTGGCATCCTTTCGTCCATGAGAAACCGTGGGAATTGCAGCCCTATGATGTAGACGGTTTGCAATGTCTCATGTGACTGAATAGTCCAATCCAAGATTTCCATGATCTTTCACAGTTATTGCAAATGTATGTATCTTGGGTGGGAGCTGCTGGCTTCCTATAGGCTCTTTTTTCTTCAAGCTGTAGGATCCAGCTTCTGTCATGGACTTTGATACCCTGATGTAGATGTGGATGGTGGCGTCACTTGTTATGATCACTTGCCAAGATTTCCCATTGGTCAGAATTAATTCCAAATTCCTTCATATCTAATTTGCATGTGTCTTTATAGCGAAGTTTGGGATGTCCCGTTGTTCTTGTTCCCTCTGGTAGCTCCCTGTATAGCATGTCCTTGGTATGCATGCGCCTTCCAACATACTCAGATGGCCCAGCCTGCACAGTCATCTTTGCTTGAGAAGGGCTGTCACACTTGGTAAATTTGCCCTTTGAAGAACCTCTACATTGGTGACTTTATCTTGCCATTTGGTGTTGAGCATGTGGTGTAAACAACATAGGTGGAAACTGTTTAATCTTTTCTCCTAATGAGCATAAGTTGTACATGTTTCCCCACCGTACATGAGAGTGCTGAGAGAATACAAGTTTGGTACACTACCATTTTGGTCTTGATGGTAAGCTTTGAGTTGTTCCATGCTCTTTTAGTTAGTCTGCTAAAGGTGGTAGCAGCCTTTCCAATGCAAACAGTTAGTTCTTCATCCAGTGAGTTGGATGGTGGTCACTCTAGAACTAAATAGCTGAACTTTTGGATTACTTCTAGCTGGTTTGCATTTAAGGTGACTGAAGGATCTTGTGTAATCTCCTGTCCTAATACAACCATTTTCTTAATGCTGATGGTGAGAGCAAATGCCAGACAAGCACCTGAAAGGCGGTCCATGAATTTCTTGTAGTAGATCTTCATCATGGGCTATGAGGGCACCATCATGAGTTAATAGAAGTTCCCTGATTAGCACCTTTTTAACTTTGGTCTTGGACTTACGTCATGACAGGTTGAAGAGTTTTCCATCCAATTTTGTGTGGAGATACATTCCATCTTTCATGTTCTTAAACATACAGTTCAAGAGTACCGAGAAGATGATTCCAAAGAGTGTAGGGGCAAGAACACATCCTTGCTTCACTCCGATTTTCATCTCAAAGCTGTCCAAAGTGGACCCATCAAACAAGAAGGTTGCTCTCATGTTGTTGTGGAATGAATGTATCAGACTTAACAGGGTTGGTGGGCATCCTATCTTTTCTAGTATTGCAAATCGACCTGCTCTGCTGACTGTGTCAAATGCTTTGGCTAGGTCTGCAAAGACAATGTACAAAAGGCGTATGAGCAAATTCACTCAGTGTTTTTTGTCAACAACATCCACGCAGGATAGATTGGGCCCTTCATCTGTAGCTGATAACCAATCTAGGAGTGGAGACCTGAAAGGAGGGCAGAGGGAAGATCTCCTCTGCACTGGCAACTCCTGCAGCGTAGCTGGTTCCAAATGTATCAACTCCTTCCTTTGGTCCAAACCAGTGAAGTCGAGAGGGGGATGCTGATGCATGGGCAAAGCAGTACCTCCATATCAACCACCCAGGCTATTGCAGCCACATCACATGGAGAGGATACTCCATCCTTTCTGGCACCATGGACACAACATGGAAGGTGGCAGTTATGGGTTATAAGCTCTCACTTGTTTGGCGTAGAGGAGAGTGTCAGAGGTCACCTTCAACGGTGGGAAGAATCACTGCATTCCATTGGTCAGCCCCGCCCACCACAAAGCTGGGCAGCTCCCGGACAGTTGGGTGCTGACCCACCACAGTCTGTCTGCGTCATGGGGTGCGTGGGGCTAGACCAAAAGTTGAAAGGCTGACAGAAATCTTGCACCTGGCAAAAATAAAAAACCAAGAACTTTCTGGCTTGAAAGCTGGAATATCAGGACCATGTGTCCAGGATTGACAGACAATGACAACCTACAATACACAAGCAGCATCCAGAAGTCAGCTTTGATAGCCTGTGAGCTGTACAAACTCAATGTTGACATTACAGCACTCCAGGAAACAAGACTTGCAGGTGCTAGTTCTGTCCAAGAGGCCAATTATGCCTTCTTTTGGCAAGGTAAAAGCAGCGAAGAAAATCGTCTGCAGGGTGTCAGTTTTGCTGTGAGAAACAAGTGGTTAAAGCTCCTAAAAACACCCATTGGGAAGTCAGAGCTTATCATCTCACTTAAACTTCAGATGACAATCGGCTCTGTGAACATCATTAGTGCTTATGCACCAACACTCAAATCAAGCCCCGAGGAAAAGGATACATTTTACGACCCTTTGCATCAAGTCGTCAAAAGAATACCATCAACTAAAGACAGAATTTATGGGCAGAGTATGTGGCATCCCTGCACCCTTTCAGTGTTTGCCTAATCTCCAGCATCTTTTATTCCCCAAGAGATGAACCCTACTCCCATCAAAATCAATGCGAGCTTTGATACTGATTTCACTGAAAATATATTCAGAACACATGAGCAGCATACCTGCACTTCTGAATTTGAAATATCCCCATAATTTTTTTTTTATAATTTCACTTGAATATGGCAAATGCAACACAAGAAGTTTATAACTCAAAGGAAAAAGCAAAGATAGGAATCCGTGTTTTGTGTTAATCTTCTCTCTTTCTCTCTCATTTGATATGTTAATCATTTTGTCCAACACCCATCTAAACTACATCATGCCACTTACCTCTGTATTCTTATGTTTGTTTTATTTTGAGCATTGAATTTTCATGATATACTGTTTGTAGTGTTTTAAAAAAAGACACCATCAACATGAAATCAAGTTTTAAAAAGTAAAAGCCTGATGACATTTCTCTGCTATGTTGCTGTGTTAGCCGGGGTTATCTGAACTCAAAGCTATGGTAACTCTTCTCTAGTCACTAATCATCACTCTGCCAAAGAAAGGCAACCTGTAATTGTGTCAAAATTACCAGACCATAAGCTTAATTAGCCATCCCAGAAAAGTGATGTTGAAAGTCATATTGAACACATTGAAGCCACAAGCAGACAATATCATTGCTGAAGAACAAGGCTGGCTTTTGTGCTGGAAGAAGTACCACAGAACAGATTTTCAACCTTTGTGTTATATGTGAGAAGTACTTACAACACCAGCAGGACGTTTACCACGTCTTTGTTGACTTCAAGAAGGCGTTTGACAGAGTATGGCATGAAGCTCTCTGGACAACCATGAAGAAGTACAATGTTGGTCGTAAGCTAATTCTTACCATTAAATAACTGTATGCCAAGGCCAGCAGTGCAGTTCTCGTCAATGGCACAATAGGAGAGTGGTTTCGCACCACTGTTGGAGTCCAGCAAGGCTGCCTTCTTTCGCCCACACTGTTCAGCATCTACTTGGAGCGCATAATGACTGATGCCCTAGAAGATCACATATGCACAGTCAGCATTGGGGAGCGAACAATCTCAGATCTTCGGTTCGTTAATGACATTGATGGTCTGGCAGGCAACGAAGATGAACTTGCCAACCTCATGAAACGATTGGATGAAACCTCCGCAAAATATGGCATGGAAATCAGTGCAGAGAAAACCAAGCTGATGACAAACAAATGTGATGGGTTCAGCTCACATATCACTATCAGTGGACAAGAGCTGGAGACAGTGAAACAGTTCAAGTATTTGGGGGCAATCATAACTGATGAAGGATCCGAGGCAGAAATTTGGGCCAGAACTGCACAAACAACAGCAGCAGTGGCAAAGCTAAAGCCAATTTGGAGGAATAAGAACATCTCCCTGGAATCCAAACTAAAACTGCTGCACGCATTGGTCATCTCCATTTTTCTGTATGCATGCGAGATATGGACCCTTACAGCAGAACTTGAATGGAAAATATAGGTAGTAGAGATCACATGCTTTCATAAAATCCTGAACGTCTCCAACTTCGACCACATCACTAATGAAGAGGTCCACAACATCATCACCCAATGTGCTGGGTCATATGAAGACCTCCTGATGACCATGAAGAAGCACAAGCTGAAGTGGTAACAGCCTGGTAACAAGATCATCTGGCCTATCCAAGATCATCCTCCAAGGGACAATACAGGGGAAGAGAAGAAGAGG